GTTAGTTAGGGTTAGGGCTAGGGGTTAGGGTTAGTTAGGGTTAGGGTTAGTTAGGGTTAGGGTTTAGTTAGGGTTAGTTAGGGCTAGGGGGGTTAGGGTTAGGGTTAGGGTTAGGGGTTAGGGTTAGGGTTAGCACTCCACTCAGTTGACCCATTTTTTTTTTTTTTGAACCTCATTTGCATAAAAAGTGCACTCAGTTGACCTCGCCGGCTAGACCCCTTATACTACTGATGCTTCCATGTAAAATTTGACTATCAACGATTTTCTGTTCTTGGAAAGATTTTTTTAATTTATATTTGCCATATATCCCATTGTGAAACATCTATTCCCAGGAGGTCAGGATCTGAACAAAAAACCTAAAGATGCTTTCATTTCTGTGACTATAAAACACCGTTTTGTGTTCTTGAGATTTTTATAAAGGTTTTCACTATACAGTATATAATTATGTAAAACTTGGACAACCTTTTGTGGAATGGGGCATCTTAAAACATTGCAAAGATATTTATATGCTTTCTTGTTCCTTTCAAAAAAAAAAAAAAAAAATGAGCATGCCATTTTGTAACAATCAATGCTCTTTGAGAAAGACCAAAATATTCCATCCAAACCTAAGTTTTAAAGTTCAGTGTGCAAAATTTTAATTTGTACCCTACTTCTTGGGGTCATGATCTTTAAAATAAAATTGATTTCACACTATGTAATGAAGCTTTCAATTAGTTTTTTCTGAATAATAAATTTGTTAAAAGATGACATTGAATTTTTCCTTGAAAGAAGGTGTGGACCTTCACTGGAACAAAGTTGAATACACTTCACTCAAAGATTCTTTGCTTGAAATAGCCCGCTAGCTAGTCCTGGGGGACATGAAAAATTGATGACAGACAATTTTGAAGCTGAAGAATCAGGTGAACTAAAATACTGGTAAGGCCAGTAACACACTAGGTTTGATTTCACATAATCACTTCATGTATATATACAAAATGGTGATAATACTGATTATGCAAAATGAAATCAGTGTGTTACTGGCCACTGTGATTTTCAATATCACTGATATTTCAGTTTTAGAGCTGCAAAACATTCTCTGAAAACAAGTGTATATTTTCAGTGTATGTCAAGAATACTTTTGTGACCTTTTTTTGTGTGCTCCAGTTTTGTCCATATTAATTAACCATTTTAAATACAGAAAATTTTCATTTTTTTCTAATATTCCTAAGTAAATTTCCTAAATTCAAAGGATCATCATTTCATCTGTGTTTAATTTTGCCAAACATAGAGAAGAAAATTCTTTGGCCATTTTCTTCCTATAGACTTTCATGGATAGAAATATTGTCAAGTTTCCAGATCCGGTATTTCCTCTTGTCGGACTTGATTGTCAATGTGAGATTATATAACCATGTCCTTCTCACCTATTTTATTCACATGTGTTTCTCAGTGGGAGCCCGTGTTTTGCAACTTTCTCTGATTATATATGTCTTTTATCACAAAGTTTTGGCATGACATAGGAACTAGTTCTGTCTCAGTATCTAGATTCCATTAATGTTATTCTAGTCTATAGAACACTCATTGAACTATTAAACAAAACCTCTTTCCTTGATAACTAATTTAAGCTACATTTTATAAATTTTTGCCTCATTCCAATACAAATGTTAAAACTGGTGCAAAATATTTGCTGGGTTTGCAATCTGGATTGGAAATAGTTTGTTTTTTTCAAATGAAGAAATAATTGGGACCTAATATAACAGTATTTTGCCAGAATATCTGACATGATAAAATGCCCAACATTCGAACTCATCTATGAATGTTTATAAGTATGTTTTATGTTCTGAATTTTCTTCTTCAGTTAGAAGCAAGATTTATGTGAAGCAATTTGATATTTTTTTTTACTGAACATCAAATTAATTTTTATGTTATATTAATAAGAATCACTTTTGTGTACACTGAAACAATAAAATACACATTAAATCAAGCAATTCATTCACTGATTGGTCCTCATTTAGGAAAAAATTCTGAGTGTTAATCTCCGAATTTTGTACATTTTCATTTCTTCATGGAGCATTAAAACTAACATTCATATTACAGTCATCAACGGATAGCTATTATGCCACATTCCAGGAGTTTCTCAATCTTTGCTGCAATGTCTGGATTCTTCAAATGTCTAAAATAAAGGAACCAAACATTTATATTTGCATTCTGGAGCAACAAACCATATAAATATTAAATACGTAATAAAATACCACGCTAAACAAAATTTTGTAAAAAATCTCTAAGGGAGATCAATACATGTAGTCTACAGTCTATTAAAAAAAAATTGAAAATTCTGACCAAAAAAATTGTGCAAGAATATCTGAGATTCATGATAAAAAGTATTAATGACCAAACTATCTATTAATGTTTTTGTAAATCTTGATTAATGCTAATAAGGTTAATCATCTTATAAGTTGTGGTAATGCATCAATATAGTAGCAGGATAGCATTCTTATTACAAGTCAAATTAGGGGTTCTTTTACAGGAATCGTCTGGTCTAGTTTTCCAGGTTTGAGGAAAAAATAAGAGTTTTCGTGGTATTTATTTCCTGGACAAAGAATTATTGAGTAGATGTATAGAATTTTACATACTATGGTGGACATAAATCCATGGATCTTCATATGGACCTCAAAAACACCAAAAAAAATAACCTCTGGGAAAATTAACAAGTTTGCTGCATTTTATACAAGACAGGGACAGGGCTTCAAAAAGTTTGGTTACTTTTAAAATTTGTTAAAATAAAGATTAGGAAAGATAAGTTTGGGATTAGCACATGTGGCTTTGGAGGGTAAAAAAAAAACCCTAAGAAGTCTCTGACAAGACTGTAGCTCTACTGTTTTGAACTCAATAATATGCCTTTGATAAGATTTAAAACAAGTCTAGATTGACCTCTGTAAAATCAGTATAATTTCTGTACTTACTCTCTGACAGCATTGGGGTCTTTCTGCATTTGTTCCAGGATCATGCGCATGGCTGGGTCATTTAGAATGGCCTGTACCTCCGGGTCTCCCATTGCTCGTCTTCTCACAGCCTCAGGGTCGCTACCCTCAGCCATCAAAGCATCACGGTAACCTTTCTGAGCCTCCTACAGAAAAAAATTAAACTGCTTGCTTAAAACAATAATAAACAATTAGGAAGAGGCATGGATTTTCTCTCCTTAAAATAACTAAAGGCTGTATGGATTTCCTTCCCCTTCAATGAAGCAGAAACATGGATTTTCTAACATTTTGTAAAACATCTACACCTACATAAAATTTATAGAAAATGACTCTGTTATTTAGTAGAGCAACATAAAACAGGAATTCTTCTTGATATATTGAGAAGGTATAGAATTTAACATAAAAGTCCACATTACTTTTTTGCACATATATTTTTGAGAAATATAATGATATTATTTATTATCTATTATGCTCAAAGCAAGAGGCCCATGAGCCACAAAACTCCCTGTGTTACTTTGGCCCTGTTGTTCATCCCCAGATTTTCCTCTTGTCATTACTTGTGATTCCCATTTTCAGACCGACAGACGTTTGAAGGATGGACAACAGTTGATCAGAAAAGCTCACCTGAGCTAAAAAGTTAATCCATAATAACTTCTGTATTTTGAATACTGATTTCTTGAATACTGTGAAATCACTAATTTTCGTGGGGGTTTTATTTTTGTTGTTTTTGAGCTATGAAGAGACCCACAAATTTTTGTCCACCATGAAATGTAATTTTTCACAGTTATTACAACTAAACAATTCTTCATCCACAAAATTACATCCCTTCAAACTCATTTTTTTCCTTAAACCATGAAAATTTGACCCCTCGAAAATATGCGATTTTACAGTATGAAGGGTAAGCTGCTTTGATTTGGAAGTTCCAAACTTTTTCTTTCAATAATTTACAATGAAATAACGATAGCTCAAATCATCTTATGTTTTAACTATTCCCATTGAGTTCAGGATAATGATGTTTGACTGTAGATGAAGGGATCTTACCTCAGACTTGGGATCAAGCTCCAGGGCTTTCTGGTAAGCAGATATAGCTTTGGTGGGCTCCTTCATTGCAAGCAGAATACTTCCTTTCCTGAGATAACCTTTTACTGTTCAACACAAAACATTGCAAAATTTAATACATAACATTTCAAATAAAACTTACTTACTGTGCCATGTAAAAAATACAATCATGTGACACTACATGTACAATCTTAATAAAATTAAATACTTTCTTGCTTGCAATTTTTCAAAATATGCAGAACTCCAATCTGCCGAGTATACATAATGTACTGGTCTTTATCTATGTAAAATATGACTTCACTTCCTAAATTTAAGATTTTCCCCCCTTCCATATACAAGATTTTTGCCACAGTGTAAGCATCCCATATTTATGTACAGACAAAATCTTCTAACTATAGACATGTGCTCACAATATCCTGTAAATTTACAAAACTTTCAATTTTTTAAATTCAATTTGACATGTAGAATGTTTAAACTTACTAAATTTGGGATCCAGTGCAATACATTTTTCACAATCTGCAATAGCCAGGTTGAATTCCATTAATTTTGTGTAGCAGGCCGCCCTATTGCTGTACAATTTGGCATCATCTGGATTCCTCTTGATAGCTTCATCATAATGTTTCTTTGCCTCTGGATATTTTCCTATAGAAGAAAACAATAACACCAATGTGGATTTTTGATTTTATGAAAATCATACTGCTAACATTAATAAGCTTTTAGAAAAACAAATGTTTCCTCTTACTTAATATGTATTGTTGTCACATAGACTTTACAAGTTTGTACACTTTTAATGTTATTTGTATTTTTAAAAGTTAAGCTTAGCTAGTCATAGTTTCATATATTTACCTTCTTGAAATAATTTATTGCCTTTGTTCTTTTCCTCCAATGAAATCTCTGGGTTGATGTAAGCCAGACGCTCCTTATCCTTCATTCTTTTCTCAATCTAAAAATGGAAACAAGTTTACAGAAATTTGACTTAAGAATACTGTAGATTCCTTATTTTTTGTGAGTACTTATTATCGCGAATGAGCTCCTCAACGTCAAATCGCGAGAATAATAATTCGCGAATGGACGGATGGTCAAGAGAATTTACTTAGATTTCAGCACCATAAAAATAAAGATGAGTAATTTTATTTCGCATGAGGAAATAATTAATTCCACACGTATATTTAGAAATCTACAGTAAAGTACATGTATAATCAAGAAAATCTACATGTACTGTCATGTCTTATATCATGTCTTTATGTGATAGCAAATTGTGATTCTAATTATTTGTTGGGTTTAAGTTACAGGTGAATGTAAAATGCTGATGCTTATTACAGAAATTTTAGCCATCAACAGGCATCAAAAGATTAGGAAAAACACTCACTTCTACAATTAATTTTGAAATTTCTGGCGTCCGGTACTCGGAGATAGACTTGTTAAAATAGCGTAGAGCGTTCTCTTCATCATCTTTCTTCATATAAGCCTTACCAATTCTGGCTAGAGCTCTGAAAAGAAACATTTTTTTTCCCCACTTGACAAGGATATTGATTTAAATTTCCTTCTGATGTCTAGGATTTATCCATTTCATTCAACATACACATTTTTTATCTATCAGGGAATGTGGCATATTTACTTCCCTTTAATCTTACATTTCTTCAATGCCACACAAGAACATTTTTTATTATCAGAAAATGAAACTGTATTGTGTGTCAAAGATAAAATCCTTACTTTGCTATAAGTGTGTAATCTGCTCTATTTTCTCGTCCAATTTCCACAGCCTTTTCACATTCTTCTATACATTTGTCATAGTTTTCTTGTTCAAAATACACCGCTGAAATACATAAATGAGACCTTGAAAGGACACTTCTTTAACAGATTTAAGTCACTGACAAGATCATAGCTCTTCTTTTTTTTAAATTGGTCCTCGTCTACGACCAGTAGAGCTAAAAGAAGAATGTTGTTTAAAAACATTATAACTTGCAGTTCTGTAATTTTTTGGGCAAGGCATCACATTAAGTGGCTTAGAAAATAGATATCCAATAACTTTTCGTATAACCCACCTGCTCTGTTATTGCGGAATGTGATGTCTGTTGGGTCTAGCTCAATTGCTGCAGAGTAATGGCTGAGGGCTGTCTCAAAATCTTTGTTCTTGTATGCTGCATTACCCTTTTGTTTTTCTTCAAGTGCCTATCAATGATATAATTAAAAATGAAGGAACTCATTCCATGTTTAAAAATCACCAGACTGTTAAACAAATAATTTTTTCTGTGCCTATCAGTTTTGTTTGTTTGTTTATCTGTTTGGTGCTTTTTATTTTTTTGGAGGGAAAGGTGATGTACAAGGACACCAGTTCTTTTCCAAGTAGCTCTTGTAACTTTTTAATTTATAATTCTTCTGTCTCTTGACATCACCTTTGTGTTAACATTCTTTGTACTACTAGAAGCTGAGGATTCAGAGGGGCTGGGGTTAGAAGATGAGGCATTTTGAGATTCTGGGAAAGTCTGAGGTTGCTGTGTGTCTGTCTCCATGTTTTCCTCTGTGAAAGCTGAAGGAGTGCTGACATCGAATCCCATGAGAACACCTAGAGTGGTGATTATTCTGGGATCGGCCATGTCCCTACAAAGTAAATCAAGATACATGTAGATAACTCACACATCATGAAAGATAACTCAAGCATCAAATTCTATAACAGTTCTTAAAACTTTTCAGCATGGCCATCTGACATTCTGACAGAGAGAAAAACTGTCAACCAGAGAACTGAATAATTTTTGTTCTTTTATTTACAATCCTGCTTACATTATTCAACTTTTATTTTTAGTTATGCAGTATGCCTTATTTAAAGAATGTTTCCACTTAGGCTTAATACTGTAAATTTATTATACCTGGGTATTTGACATGTACAATATTTGGTGGAAATTTATTTTTGATCCAGTTAGCGTATATTTGATTTAGCGCATTTCTTAATGTCCTTATTAGCCCCTTCACGGTAACTGCGGTACTACTCTTTTGCAGGGCAAAATAATAACGTTTGGCGAAGTTTTTGTTGAGAGATAATTAAATGACGTATATTTAACAATTACTTTTACGTCATATTTCACCAAACTATATCATTTTGCCCTGCAAAAGAGCAGTACAGCAGTTACCATGAAACGGTCTATTCATGTATATATGTGTGCAAGACATTTAGCAATGTACTTGATTTAGAGGAAGTTTCTTTCCGTGAAAGGTGCTAAAAATGAATACACAGTCAAATGCTATTCGTTTATGTACTGTGACCCCCTTTTTTCAACTTCTCTGATTTTGTTAAATTGCTGACTGTGTGTTACAATATTGTTAAAACTGTGTAGTTTTAACAGGGGTATCACTTAGAAAAGCATACTTTTTGGGTGGTAATTCAGGAGAACAGTACTTGCAAAAGCTGGATTTTAGATATCTCATTATTAAAAGTGTTTTCCATGTCTCATTATAATACAGTGTAGATGGAGCACATTTCCAATGAAGATCTTGCACTGAGAAATAATCTTATTGAATCTCAGAGCCATCAAAGCTTTCTGTTGCATAACTTGCATTGAAACTTTTTAAATAATACATAGCTCTAATCTCTATTCTTATTGACTTTTGATTCCCATAATATTGCAAAATTTAGACATAGAAGAGTTGCATTCTCAATCTGATAGGCTATTTTCCATACTTTTAGCTAATACTAACTTGACTATAGCTAATACTAACTTGAGGTCATTAGGATTTTTCTGTAGCTTTTCAATCATAGCACGGTAATCGGGTTGTTTAAGAAACTCTCGTGTTTTAGGGTTTGCTTGTAGCTTCTCCATCATGTCAGGAACAGCAAAAGGACTCGGTATAGGTTGGCTATTTCCAGGACCTGCAATAAAAGATTCAATGTAATACAACAAAATAAATATTTTATACCTTAAATTCCCATTAGAATTGAAAGCACATGAAATTGTAAAAAGTCTTCAGCTCAGGTGAGCTAAAATTTATATCAAATCTCGCAAATTAATTACTTGCTTTGTTGATTTTGTGAAAAATAAAGTAGTGAAATCATCTGAAATGTATGTGATTTACACCATTTTCTTTGATTACTTTTACCTGTAAGAACATCTTTGGTCTTCTGTAGTCCTTCTTTGAGGGCGGCATTTTCTGGATCCACCTTGAGCCCATCAGAGAAAACCTCATTTGCCTCCTCATATCTATTTAGACAACACAGGGCAGTGCCTTTCCTGGAATATCCCTACACAGAGAAAACAATTCACATAAAATGAGCTCACATTCTACTACACAGTTTTACATATCTCTTTAGCTTTATATTTAAGGAATGAATTTAAACCGCGAAGCGGTTTATAAAAAAGCGTAAACTGTTCCAACCCAGTTTATACCATATAAAATGGGTATAGCTATTAAATTCATTGCTTATAATTTAATTTTCATTCATTTGATGTAATAAAAAAAGATGATTGTTCTAACAAAATGACTTCAGTTTGTACAAAATTTGAATTTAACGTTGGGCGGATTGATACATTTTTGACGCAAGTCATTGCTACGTACTACGTAACCAATTCTATACCAAAGTAAAACTAAAAGTAATTTTTTATCCAATCAATCAGCATTACAACCAGAATTAAATTATTTCAAGATATTTACTTATTTGTTTCAATTTACCAAAGAATATTATAGGCTCAACATTTAGATCACTAACTGATTATACCAAAAAAAAAAAACTTTCTCATTTCATTTCAAAATACAACTCTGCAAAGAGAAATGAACTGAAAAAATTGTGTGGTACCTTAGCCCAGTTTGGCTGTAGATTAATAGCTTTGTCGGCATCCCCTATGGCCTCCAGGTATTTCCCTGCTTTAGTGAGAGCGGCTGATCTGTTACTGTACAGTACGTGGTTGTCCGGGTCCAGCTGAATTGCCTCCGTGTAACTCCCTATGGCCTCCTCAAACTTTCCCTGACTTAATGCCTCATTTCCTTGACTTTTCAGGGCTTCTGCCTAAAAAGTTTCAGGGCTGGAGGGGCATATTGTATAGCAAAAACATTCAAAACTTAGTTTATAAAACAGTCAGGTGCAATCTCTGCTCTATAAAATGGGAGAGAGGACATAGAAATAAAAGAAAATGCCATGAAGTTTCAAAATTCAAACTCTTTAAAGGGTTCCAACAGGGGTTTACAAATTAAAAGGTGAACTAATGTAGTGGTCAGGCAGGATCAACTGTCGATGGTCAAACCCTTCAGTTGGCAAAAAAATTAACATGGGGCACTCTGCTTGCTTGATTCACACTTCCTTTCAGGAGGCAAATGTGTAAATAAAGCACCTTATTGTGTTAATTAATGCAATATCAGGGCTTTCAAAAAGATTTGAAGCAGGTGGTACTTTATAAAAAATAGGAGGTACCACTTGGCGAACGCCGAAGGCGTGAGCCTGCTAGGGGGGTCCGGGGGCATGCCCCCCCGGAAAAATTTTGAAATTTAGAAGCCACCAGACAGCATTTCCTGGTTTCTAGACACATAGAAGTATGCTGCTATCAGTGTTATTTTTATGCCATGTTTCAAAGTTTATTTTTGGTCAATAAACATTACATGTGAAGTTTAGCACTGGATGGGTGGAATTACATAGAAAAATTAGTTATTTGAGAAGAGTAACAATAAGATTTAGGTAAAACTTCTAAGTTCTATGCTATATTTGTTTATATTTATAAATTTGTTCAAAAAAAATTTGAAAGGTTTGAGTTGTAAGTGTTATGTTTTAAATATAAAAAAATTATTGAGTCACGAAATGTAAATTCAAAATTTAGATTTAATAAAAGAGAAATGAAATTGTATTTGCATTAAATTAAATTCATTTCTGTTCTACAGTAAAGTGCAGACTTTAACAAAAAAAATTAGAAGAAACACTACATGATGCATAGCATGTACCAATAAATTCAGCATATTTTTCATGCACTGGTACATGTACATTAAAATAATATACATGTGTAAATTAGACAAAGATGACATCAAGACTGGAGACAAAAAAAAAAATTATATATGACTCCTTCACTTTACTGGATATGGTAACAATATTGGGAAGAAAGTAAACGTCCGCAAGGTCATTCTCTTGACCACTAGAAAACTGCTGAATCAAAGAATTAAATGTGTGGCAAAAGAAATAGTTTCTGTTTTATGTCCTTTTGTTTCATCAGAAAGTTGCAGATATTTAAGACTGTAAGTAATTTATATCGTCAGCTGCGGATTTTGACACTTGAATTTGAAGAGTTGAGGCTATTAAAATGTAGTACAGAGGTGGTCAAAGAACTATCTACTGTTCATGTCGGTCTCTCTATCGGTCAATTGTGTTGAAGACTTTCCGCGGTCTAGTTCCTTGTATCTTAAGGTAAGTCACTCCTGAAATTTGTTATATCAAGGGTTTTTTGAGAAGTATATTTTGGATAAGTACTCATAAAGTGTAACTCAAAATCGCAAAGAAAATAGGGGGTCAGTGTGCATCCTACTGATCTACGGTACATTTAAGTTGACCTTTTTGCACTTAAATTTCATCTCTTTGGTTAATTACTTTAACCCTTATTATATTTGATCAGATGTAAGCATGGCAATAAATATAATCTTATGTATTTTACGTAAAATAGTTTGAATAATATTTAATCATTAAACAAATCCTGCAAATTAATGCGCGTAAATTATTTTGTGACCTTTTTGCACTAAAAAATAACATATTTGGGGTATTAAAAAACTTAATAGGCAATAAATTTTTTTTCTTATATCAAACTTTTTACGACTTAAATGCTGATCAGTCACAAGTATCGAGTAGTTTAAAATAATGAAAGAAAAAGGTGGGGTCAGTGATGTTAATTTTGAAATATTTGTCAAAGTATGTGATTTTCAGGCAAAAAATGGTGTAAATTTGAACTTGACTTCTTTTAAAATATTTTCATTTTTTGGAAAAGTTTGTTGAAGGAAGGTGTAAAACTTAGTCTAAAAATATAAATTAAGACATATATTAAATATTTTTAGCAATATCAAAACGAAAATATTCTCCGAGAAAAAGTATGTGAGGCTAAATTTCCATTACATTAAATTTTATAAATGTGTAGATATGCAGAATTTTCTGCTAAATATCCTTCCACCAAAAGAAATAGTCCCTCATAAATCTTGCTTCTTTGTAGATTTTTGAGCAGTTTTTTCATTGAATGTTAAAAAATTTACATTGTTGAATTTAAATATGTTATAAAAATTGAATTTTAATAAGTAGTTTTGAAGTAAAAGCTTCTGCGTGAACTTTTCTAAAAAGCTGACGAGTGACTTACCTTAAAATCTTTTGTGAAACTCATTACCATTGCTCTAAATTGACACTTTCATTTCTGACACCTGGTTCCTATTTTTTATTTTTTTGGCCGTATTTATTTAAAATATATTCATAGCGAGCGCAGCGAGCGTCGCGAAGCGAGCTCAATAGACTAACATGTAAGAACAGAGGAAATTCGGATTGAAATCTGTACATACGTCAGCCAAATTTCTCTGTGCAACATTCCCAGAATTCCTGCACTACCCAATGACCTTTGCGCGAATAAATAAAGAAATAAATAATAACGTAAAGGATGAAAGGCTATCAGTTTGTAGATATTTTTCAAATAAACAAAAAATAACTCTGCAATGTTTTTCGACCAAAATTGCACTAGGTCTAGAGTTTCAACCAGACGCTCGGCTGTCTCCGTAAGCTCCAACGAGCTCCGTGACGTTGCGTGACGTCACAGGTAGTCGAGACGTCTCGTGCGGCTTGATGTTTGAAGTGGCTGATAAATTTTTCAAGTTTTTTCGATGGTACAACTGCGCTCGCCCCAACGGTCACACCGTAAAACATATTAGTCATTAGCTTTTGTCAAAATCAGTGACGGTGGAATTTGATATCGAAATCTACTTTCGTTTTCGACAAGATCTATAAGACGCGTTACGCAATCTCTTTTGTTTCATTTATTCAAACGCTTTAATGATCTTCTTGACTAACCAATCAAAAACGTTATTAGATACCATTACGGACTAAGAATAATACAAAGCTACGTAAGGCCAGATAGAATTAATCTTTAGATTCTCTTCCTAATTTGCTAAAATATTGGGGCGGGTGGGCGGATTTTATTTTTTATTTTTTATAATTGTTAAATTGGAAGTATCAACAAAACATGGACTCTCGTAAACATTTTTTGTTATGTTAATGCCAATATGAATAGATTTTATTCCTTTCATATTCTTTTAAATATTTAAAGAAGCTTCTTGCTTTAAAAAAATAAATATTTATTGTTAATTAAGAAATTATCAAGTACACAAATACGGCACACGCCAAACAAAATGGGGTGGGGATACCGATAAATTGTGTATGCATGTCAGACTTCCCCAAATACCTTTTGGTTTTACCAACCTCTGTTTTCTGTAAAATATCACCTTCTACTGGAAAACCTAGGCCTGAACAGTTTTAAGATTTAACATTTTCTTAGCATTCTTTAAAGTCTGCCTACGATGTTTTATTATTTCTTTTTTCAAAGAAAAATCACACACAATTGGAGATCGTTTAAAACTTGACCAGGTGTTATTTTCTCTGTCTATTTTTCCTTAGTTAAGATCTCTCTAATTTGCTCAAGCCATTAATACTATCTAGATGTGTTTATGCTATTTTTTCTTCTCTGCCTTTTTTACACTGACAATTTATCTTTTCATTACATATTTAAACTGCTTTTATTGCCGATTTTTCGCCATTCTTCACATGGCTCTTTTGCTATAAATAGCGACACGCGACTTTTAATACAGACGAGAGGTAACTCTTAAACTTTGACCAAAATTCTTGCTGAATAAAAATACATGGGAAATACTTTTAACACCCAAAAATCGAAATAAAAAACACCGAGGCGGGACATTTTGAGAGGGGCCGGCGGGGATGAGAATCTAAAGATTAATTTTATCTGGCCTAACCACAACTTTTGTAAAACATGGTAGGGCCTATCGTATTTTCACGCGATTTTTTTTTCTCCTCTGAATATTTTGGCCGGTACCATGAATGAATCCAATCGGGTAAAAGTACCGGGTACCGGCAGATTTTGAAAGGCCTGCAATATTGATTGTTAACATGACAAGCAAGCTCACAAATTGTAGTCTTATTGTTATTGTGAATTATGATATACAAGTAATCCTACATGCCAAAGTCATACCTTTTTTTACCCACTAGTCCCAACGTGAAATATTTCAAAATATAATCGATTCTATTCTACATTATTTACATTAATACAATTAACTGTCATCTCTTCCTGTATTTCCCCAATACATTATTAAAACAACTCTGCGAGCATTTCAAACATTTGTTTCAGTTCTAATCCGAAGGCAAAATCATATGGATTGATCCTATATAATTATTGTACAATGAAATGTCAAGAAAAATTTATCAAAGCCGAGCAATTCTGAAGGAGAGATATAAAATGTGAAAAAAGTTAACAGAACTAAGGACAAATTTAAGTACAGAAAGACAATCTCAGAAAAGCTCTCCTAAGTCTCCTTAGCTATCAGCTCACAGTGAGCTAACAAGAGTGAAAGTGTAATGGTTTATTAAATTGGCCATGGATTCCGGCCTGAGTAGCTAAGTCAGAAAAACACTGCCAGGGGCAACAACTTGAATTTATAAGACCTTAGGGTTGAGTCTTCCAGGGCAAAGACAATTTAAGGAGGGAGTGGAATATCACGATTTGGGCCTTTGACCTAGCTGTCAGAAGAGCACCTGACTAATGCTGCATGGATACCAGGTTCCTTCCCTGGTTGACTCCTTTCCTGTTTCACAAAGTTTGAAATCAAAAGGCAGTAGGCCTAGATGTTCTCATTTCCTCGGTCAAAGTAATTCTTTTAACATACAATTGTTTGGTAAAAACAATTTCTGTGTCAAATCATTTGTAGTCTTCTCCCCCATAGCATATTCTAGAATCTTAATTGTACTTCCTCTATATACATGCATCAAATTCCAAACAGATAAAATTGCATTGCTAACCAACCAAAAAAAAAAAAAGAAAAAGAAAAAAATGAAAGATTTTTTTTTTGTCATAAGAAAAGGTGATAGAATAAACTATAATCTGCTTAATTGCAACACTTAATTATAAAGAATGGAAATTAACTAAAAATAACTACTTTTTGCGTTATCAATTCCATTTTCTAGAATTTGCGATCGTTTTAAATTCGGGATCGGGGAAGAAACACGTGCAATTTTCTGATGCCGGGTGTTAACTGGCACACGTGCTGCTCAACAACAGATATTTGACATGAAATCTTTCCATACAACAATTAAATATCTAAACATTTCAAGAAATAAATCAATATAGACAGAATATTTCTTATTCCCTACCTTCTTCTTGTTTATGTCAGCCATGTTCTCTTCTCGAAATTTCTCAGAATTACTGCCCTTTCTTCGTACGGAAACTCTGAAGTATCAAAAATGTAAAGTTTTTTTTCTTCTTTTAATCAGTTTTTTTTTTGGTCAAATGATTTGCTCGGCCATCTGAGTACGATCATTTTTTTTAAAAATGAGGATTATATGTTAATCACTGCTACGTTTATGTTACCTACAGAGATTTCAACAACCTCGGTTAACAGCTGGTGGTTGGTATTTCGTAAATTCTATGGTCGCTATATTATGACTCCGTCATAAAATATAACCTATAATTTTTTTTATACTTAATCGATTGTATCAGGCACGTAGCAACAGGGGGGGGGGGCAGGGGGGCCTGCCATCCCCCCACTTTTTCCCCAACATTAGCTTTACTATTGAAAATGTCCATTGAAAGGTTGGTCCCCCCCACTTCTTACCACAGTATAGTAATATCTAGGAAATGCAGTATTGTATGCAAAAAGAAAAAAAAAAAAGGAAGTGGAAGGAAGTTGGCCTTGAAAAAAGTTGGCTACTACCCCCCCCCCCCCCCCCCCACGAAATAGGATTTTCGAGTTTGGGAAATTTCATTTTTTTTGCTTGTCAACATTTACAGGTAAGTAAAAAAAAAATTTTCTCTGGTTGCCCCCTCCCCTACCACTTTCAAAAACAATGCTACGTGCCTGTGTATTTTGGCTGAATGAATTGTGGTTCATATCAATTGTTAGGCCTTTGTTTTTATTCTGAATTTGACTACGGGAAGTTCTACCTGATCAATACATAGGACTCGAGGCCGATGTTACGGTCACAAGGGGATGCTTACTCCTCATTGGTACCTAATCCCAACTCTGGAATGTATTATGCCCTCTTCTCATTATGTAATTTTGTTGTTTATTGATTGTTTTTATCTATTACTTTTCGTTATCTTCACTTTACATTAAAGTTTAAATAAGTAAATAGGTAAATTCATTACAGGTACACATTGTATTTCCAATTTTGGGCCTATACAAGAGAAATACGAGGAAAATTAATTTAAGCATAAATAATTAAGAGAAGAATCAAATAAACAATAGAGAGGACATCATATCTTAAAAATACATACTTATATATATTTACATCCACTGCATATTATCTCCTTTATATCTTAAAGAAACCCGGCCAGTGTAATTTATCAGTCAGAAGGCCTAAACACCGCAAATCTTATCAACTCTTGATCAGTAGCTGTTCCGTCCATCAGACACACAATGATGTACATATCGATAATACAATATTTTACGTGCTAACTCTAATCAACGTTGCAACTTGCAGAAAAAAATATTTATCCCGCTTACATTAATTCAAGTACTAACAAAGAAAGCAATTAAGTAAGAAAGTTTGACATAGCAAAAAATACACACGTGCTGACACCTAAAACGCTTCCGTACTTACGCAGGTTATCTATTTTTACGAAAGGCAAACAGTATCCGCATCGTTTTTTGACTGGGGGTGTTAAAAAACGGAAACACCTAAAAAAAAAAAAACAAAAAGAAAAAAAAAAAAAATTGAAAAGAAAGCAAAAGAAAAATTGGAAAGTTCGAACTCGAAAATTATATTTCTTTCGTGAAGGGGGGGGGGGGGGGGGGGGGGGGGGAGGGGTGTTACATATTTATGCATTAAATATCTCATTATCATGAATTAACTACCACACTATACTACGAAAAAAAATTGGACATTTTTAATAGACAGAGGTTGAGAGAGTACCGCCCAACTTGCCAATGTAATGTTCTTTTTGAAACCGTCTTCCCTATATATACTCTTTAGTGACACCCCCCCCCCCCCATTACCTATTGAATGCATTGTTTTTATGCAAACGGAGATTGCTTGATATATGGGGGAAAATATTCAAAGTTTAATTTTCAATATTTCAAGAGTAAAGTATGCAAATTTCCAACTTCCATTTTTAACAAAGTTCAAGCAGTTTTCTATGATTTCAAAAAGCCCGAACTTTGATTTATTTCTAATAATATATATCTATCAGAATCGTTTCTTCTAGTCTAACTTTAACAGTGATGTCAAAAAGATTATTTCTTGCTTTTATTTATCTTTTAGAAACAAAGAAAAAATGATGCATTAAAACATTCTCATTCTGACCACATTTTCATTTAGGAGAATCAATAAATAAATATTTCGCCTGTAGAGATAATACCCGGTAATTTAACGAATACTTTTGTCTTAATATTTGGTGTGTATAATATTTTTTTTCGTTTGGAAAACGTACTGATAGTATGTTTTCCAAACGAAAAATATTTCGGGGTTTATAGTAATTATGTCGGTGATATATATTTTTTTCAAGTATTCAGAGAATTAAGTTTCTTCTCTGACTTCCAGCTTAGTCTATCAATTATTACTGAGTTTGCTCCAAAAAACTATAGACTAGACAAATTTCTTTGTAAGTAGTTTGGTGATCTTGATAAGGTTCAATCTTCATGTCATTTTATTGTTGCAAATTAACAACTTTTCAAGATGAGAATGAAAGATCCGAAGAGAGGTAAAATATGCATACTGTTCTTCCATTTCCATATCTTCGGCTTTCATATCATATTAAGAAGCATTTGAAGAATGGTAAAAATACCCCCCTTTCGAAATTATTATAGCTTTTGAAGATTTTGGAATGGAGTTGACCTTATTTCTACAATCAAAAAATTCTGGATTGATTTTTTTAGAAGTCGGTCCCCACTGGAATAAAAAATTAAGATCATGAGTCTTTATTACGTAAGCCTAGACTTGTTGGGCGGATGCTATCAAATGCTTTCTTTTCCACTTTGATGCTATAAATAGAATATAAATAGTTTGGTGAATCTTGCTTTTCATTGGATGCACTTTGATCTTTAGTCACGTGCTTTTTTGGTGGGAAATTTCTGCTGTTCTATTGTTCCCATTCATTGCCCATTGGCGCCTTTGAAAGTTGGCTTGTTGAATGTGCGTGTGAGATGTGTCCGTTGAATCAAATGCTATATCAGTATATGTTCGTAACTAATAATATTATATGGATTTTTATTAATTCTTCAACCAGGTCAGTCGTCTCTAAGTGAAATGTATTCTGTTCAGTATGTTCAATGCCCAATGTTCTAGCACACATTTCACAGTTTTGACAGCTTTTTAATGTGATTAATTTGCTATACTGAGTTAACTTGTAATATCAACACGGGACAATATTTATGTGGAAGTATCCTGGGGAAGTGCAGATTCTGAATTGTTCAAATCACACCCCTGGGGGTAGGGCGGGGCCACAATAGGGAATTCAAGTTTATATGGAAATATATAAGACATTGTTTAAAAATCTTCTCAAGGACCACTGGGCAAGGAAAGCTGAAACTTGTGTGGAAGCATTCTGGGGTAGTGTATATCTAAATAGATTGTCAAAATCATGACCTCCGTGGTAGAGCGGCCCTGGCCACAGTAGGAAATCTGAGTTTAACATTGAAATAAATAGGAAAAATCAAAATTTTCTTCTCAAGAACAACTGGGCCAGAAAAGCTGAAACTTTTGTATAGCATCCTGGGGATAATCCGGCCCCCGTCTGTCCATCTGTCCGTCTGAAAACTTTTCACATTTTTGACTTCTCTCAAGAACCACTGGGCCAATTTCAACCTAACTTACTACAGAGTATCCTTGGATGAAGGAGATTCAAGTTTGTTCAAATCAAAAGCCATGCTCTCTTTAAAGGGGAGATAACTAGGAATTAGTGAAAAAATAATTGAATTGTTTAAAAATCTTCTTCTCAAGAACCACTGGGCCAGGAAAGATGAAAATTACATGGAATTACATAGATTCAATTTTATTCAAATCTTGACCCCTGGGGGTAGGGTGGGGCCACAATGGATGAATAAATTTAACAGGAATACATAAGGAAAATCTTTAAAATCTTCTTCTCAAGAACAGCAAAGCCATGATTGATATTATTTATATGGAAGCATCGATCCTTACGTAGTGTAAAATAGAATTTGTTAAAATTGTAACCCCAAGGGGTGGGGTTGTGCCACAACAGGGGACCAAAGTTTTACATAGAAATATATAGGAAAATATCATTAAAAATCTTCTTCTCCCGAAGAACATCAAAGCCATGATTGGTCATATTTATATGCAAGCATCCTCATGTAGTGTAGATTCAAGTTTGTTCAGATCACGACCCCCCGGGGTGGGGTGGGGTCACAATTGGGGAGTAAAGTTTAACAATAGGAATATGTAGGAAATTCTTTAAAGGTATTCTTTCAAGAGCATCAAAGCCATGATTGGTCATATCTTAATGGAAACATCCTCAGGTAGCATTGATTCAAATTTGTTGAAATCATTGCCTGGAGATGGTGGTGGGGTGGGGGGGGGGGTAAGTTGGCCAATGATGGGTGATCCAAGTTTTACACAGGAATATATAGGGACTAATCTTTTTCTTAAGAACAAAAAAGCCATGATTAGTCATATTTATATGGAGGCATCCTCAGGTAGTGTAAAATCAAAATGGTTCAAATGAGGACCTCTGGGGGGTAGGGGTTGGGCACATCATAAACAGTCGACATGCATTCAGTGGATTGCATATATGCTGTTGAGTTTGAAAAATAAAAAAAAGACACTTCATACATTAATTAAAAGTCATAATCAGGCAAATATATGAATGAGTAATAAGGTATCATTTTTAAACATCTATCAAGATATAAAGGACTTTATGGTGAATTCAATCTCATACCAACTTCAGTATATTTATATCCTGATAAATGTTTTAAAATGATACCTTATTTCTTAAGTAACTACAGTTGCTATGGTGACTATGAATTTTCAGTGAGGAAGCAGCTTAGCAGATTTACTTCTGATGCTGTGTCTAACATACGTTTATAGAAGAATGATTGGACAAGTTTAATAATATTTTGAAGCAGAGCCATTTTCTTAAATTAGTAACTAAAAGGATATTGTATCCAAACTTGCATCGATCGCTGAATATTTGACTGACACGTCATACGATTCTCAATATAGGCGCTATATCTGACCTATTTAATTTCTAGATAAATGACCATATTAAAGGCTTTT